CTGACAATGAGTGTACTGACAATGAGTGTACTGACAATGAGTGTACTGACAATGAGTGTACTGACAATGAGTGTACTGATACTAGGTATAGTGACAATGAATATACTGATGATGAGCGTACTGATAAAGAGGTTAGTAAGAATGAGTAAGGATGAAGCGATCATAAAGCAATGGAGTATGATGAAGTTGGGAATACTGAAATTGAGGATAATGAAATCAAGCACAACAAAAGTGGGTACAATCAAATTGAGTATAACAAAACTGACCATAAAGAAATTAAGTAGGATGAATTCGAACATAATGAAATCGAGCACTATGAAGTTGAATACAATGAAATCAAGCACAATGAAATCGAGCACAATGAAATCGAGCACTATGAAATTGAGCACTATGAAATTGAATACAATGAAATCAAGCACAATGAAATCAAGCGCAATCAAAATTATATACAATGAAACCGAGCATAAAGAAATCAAGCCTAATGAATTTGAGCACAATAAAAGTGGGTATAATAAAATGAAGCATTAAGAATTTGATGTAATTGAAAATGAATATAATGAAATTGAGCCTAATGAGATCCAGCCTAATGAGATCGAGCATTATAAATTTGATGACACTGAAAGTAGGTATGATGAAATCAAGCCTATTGAAACTATGCCTCATAAGATTAAGCCTAATGAAATTAACCAGATCGAAATCAAACAATAATGATATTGAGCCGGTTAAAGACGAGTACATCCCCGGATTTTTCAAATTTTGGGTAGGGTACTTTAAATTTGGATATTAGATATTCAGTGGTTTGGAGATTAGTTCATTACAACTAAAAATCGATTAGATCAATTATTCGCGAAGAAACGGAGATTTGAAAAATTTTTCAAAATTTGGTCTAATGGCTATAAAATACCGCTGTTAAATACTGAGGTATTTTAAGTTATAGTTCAGTGGTATAACATTGGCCTGTCAATCGAAAGGTTTTAGGTTCGACTCCTGCTGAGAACATTTTTGTGGCGCAATTTTTTTTTAATTTTTTTTCAAATTTAAAATTGAATGAAAACTTTTTCACTTTATAGTTCTTTTTGTTTCTTACAAAATATTATATATTTTTATTTAGTATGCCTCCAATCCGTAGATCTACTCGTAATTCTACCACATCTGAGGCGAATGTCAACAGATCTTCGTTGACGATCACTTCATCAGTACCTGACATAACTGTTTCGGCTGTTGAAGACCAAACTGATGACGTAGAAGCCGTTTACGACCTAACAGTTCCTCCTGAAGTGAATGAAAATGCAACTTTGGAAGATGGCAGTGACGATGTCGCTCATTGGAGTCGAGTAAAAGAGATTCCTCTCATGAATGGGGGTGTTTTCTTTGAAACATTTGGGACAGTCGATAAGTGCCAAAGGTACGTTTGCTGAAAACTGGTTCAGTTCATGTTCTAACTTTTATAAGATTCTTAATCAATAATGGCATTTATTACTCTACAAATTCGGTCATCTTGTGTGGTGGAGACAGTGGCAGCCGCATGTATTTCGATGACGGTAGATATCCTCGGTGGCGATGCAATGGCCGTATCATTGACCGTGTTACTCGTGAAAAGTGCTGTAATGGTAAAGAAATGACAGCCAAAAAGAATTCGTTTTTCGAGGGTAGAAAATTAAATGAAGCTGAAGTCATGAGATTTTTATATGGTTGGGCCCTAAAGATGCGAAATGACATGCTTTGTACTTTTGTGGGTACCTCGCCTGATACCATTCGTGATCTTCTTCGCGATTGGTATCAAATGATTCAGGAGGATATCCGTGACGAAGATGTTAAAATTGGTGGTCCAGGTATTATTGTGGAATTGGATGAGTCGAAATTCGGCACCAGGAAGTTCAATCGTGGACGAAGAGTGGATGGTGTCTGGGTTTTTGGTGGTACTGAAAGAACCGATCAAAGAAAATGTTTTTTGATCACTGTGCCAGACAGATCAGCTAGAACACTTCTGGATGTTATTGAGAAGCATGTTTTACCTGGATCAATCATCCATACTGATTGCTGGAAAGCATACGAGCGAATTGAAGAATTGGGTAGAAACTACTCACATTTTACTGTCAATCACAGCGTCGAGTATGTTACAGAGGATGGTGTTCATACAAACACAATAGAAGGTAATAGGTTCTCTTGTTCCATTTATTTAGCTAACAATCCAATAGGTACATGGCATGGGATCAAAATCAACGCAACCCCTAGGCAAAGAAACAGAAACTCTATGCCTTGGATGTTATTGCGATTCATTTGGATGCGTAAACATTACGGTGACATCTGGGGTGGCATAGAACGAGTTTTAAAAGAAGTTCAGTTCTCTCGTGCACAAATCAATCCTCCTGTGTTTACAGAATTTACTGCTGATGAATAAAATTCTATTCGTCACTAGATGTTACTATTATTGACATTTTCTCTATTAAAAAAATAATTTAAAAAGAAATATATGTTATTTTTAAATTGCACACTAGTGAATGTCTTTAAGTTGCATATATTGTCGCAAATAAACATATATCATTTGCAACTTTGCATCTCAAAAGAGCGTTATTTGCCTCTAAACCAACAATTTAATCTAAATTTCTTACTTCAAACCAAAATAGAAATATTCAATTTTTAAAGTAAGTATACGTAAGTAAATGCGTAAATCAATTATGGCTTAAAGTCAAAAAGATAAACTAATTATCCTTTAATGCAAGAGCTATCTACATTATTATACTTAATAACTCAATCATTTCAAACAAATAAACTGATTTTATTATTTGTCGGCTGAAAATAAGATTTATCTACATTTTTTGTATTAGGTTTAAAAAAAACACTGCAATCGATGGTCAATTAGAGATAACTCATGAAATGTTTTCAAATACGATTATATTTGACGGATCTATGAAACTAAAAGTAAAGCAAAATAAACAATAAATTATATGCAACCAAATAGAAATAAAATATAGGAAATTGGCAACTATTTCGAAAACAAACTAATCTTTTTTAATTTTTGACTGTATGTATCACTCAGATAGTTTTGTTACTTTACGAGCTTCTACTCTTTTGCGAATTGTTGTAATAGTAGATACGTTGTTGATTTTATGATAAACAGAAAGTTATCTGGTAAATGCTTCCTTATGACTAGAATATTTGTTTTTAAAGCCAAGAAAGAAAAACATTCAAACTTTGATGTTTATACTTTATTTTGATAAAAGCAAGACAATATCAAAGCGATATGTTCGATATTTAAATCATTCGCTAAACCAAAAAGGCAAAGGAGTGATTTTGCATTAAATGCTAATAAATAGTGGTAAATATTTGATGAAAGTCATCTTTCACTTTTACTTACATTCATGCTTAATAATTTACAAAAACCAATAAATTAGGTTTAATTGAGTGCATAGAACAAGCTGATTTACCAACAAGAACGACATTATACCGTAATATCAGTTAGATCGGGCGTGATCAATAATTAAAATAAAAGTCGAAAACTAGATAATAAAACCATCTTAGGGAGCTATCGCATATTGCCATGTACATTATTAGACTAGCGACCTAAATAAGTGCTCATAATAACAAACCACAAGTTTACTAAACATTGCATAAAAAGTAAAAATAAAAATAAAAAAGATGTAGCAAACTTGAACCCCGGCCGTCTCAATCAAAAGTAAAAACGACACCGATATGCCAGAACCTAAGTTATAAAAATAATTTTATAAAATGTTTGTGACAGCTTGTTTTAAATTTAATTTTTTAAATTTTCTCGTGATACATGACCCTAAGTATGTAAATATTAATTGCATTATGTTTCCTACACTTTTATTGAGCCTTGTTTCAATTTGAAGCACTATATCTCATTTTTAAAAAATCCGGGGATATATTCGTATAGTTCCGAAAATACTCCATATCCGTTATCATTTGCCTCAAGATCATTGACAATCCATGAACAAAAATACTCTATACAAGAACTGGAAGCTCTAGCTGTCATTTTTGGTATCAAGAAAATCATAGAAGCAACAGGATATACTGCAGGAAACGAACCGTTTCAGAGAGTTGCTATCGATTTCTGGGGCCCACTCACAGAAGACATGAATGGTGCAAAATACATCTTGGTTTGTATTGATACTTTTACCAAATTTGTGGAATTGTACCCGGTAACCAGCACAAGCCAAGACGAATCAGCAGAAACGTTTTTCAACAAATTTGTCCTGAGGCATGGTGTGCCGAAAGAAATTCTATCAGATAATGGTCCACCATTTGGAAGCTTATTCTATACACAAATAACAAAGATGCTAGGTGCTGAAAACCTTTTTACTCCAGCCTATCATCCACAGTCAAACGGCATAGTGGAAAGATTCATGATCACTTTGAGAAGAATGATTCTAGCATACTCAAATCAACAAGCGGTCACTAGCCAATGGTCAAGTTCATTGAGACTGATTCAATTTGTTTACAACACCACAACACACGCTACAACCAAGCAAACTCCTTTCTTTCTGGTGCATGGAAGACACCCAAGAACTCCTTTGGTACTTATTGAAAACAATCAGCTTTATGATCATTACCAATCACCTAGTCAAGAATTTGTGTTAAATCTACAAGAAAGATTGAATATTGCATTTGATTTGGTTGACTCAATGAATCAGAGTCAAAGAAAAGAAGCACACAACCAGTTCAAAATAGATGATCAAGTCTTGTTATTTGATCAATCACTATCTACAAAGTCAAAACCAAGAAAGCTCAAATTCGACTGGTTGGGTCCTCTTGTGGTAGAACAAATCAAGTCTAAAACTACGGTTGACCTGAAGAACCCAAGCAATGGAAAACAAGTCATCAATGTCCATATAACAAGAATCAAACCATTTCACACCAAATAATCATGACGCACAATACTCAAGCTTTTTCCCAAAGTGGTTTTGAAGCGAGTCTAAATACTCTATTTCTTTTAATCTCTTTATTACTAGTATATTGTCATCTATTGAATTCCTTTATATATATACTTTATCACAGCAGTGGGATGTTGAATATAAAAGCATCGGAATCTCAATATGAATAAAATCATCTTTTTTATCTCCTCTTAAAACGTTACACTCACCCATCTTTGCAAATCGCAACGTCGGCATTTAAATCTCGTCCGAATTTAAGCTACGCTCTAATCAGAGTGCGCAAGTAATGCAAGATGATGCATTTTTAACATTGATGCCTCTTGAGGTTTGATGTATTTGAGGGTGTTTATGTGTAGTTAGTCTATGATTGTATAGGATTGATTACAAAGATGCTAAAGATAACGGTGATGCCGGCTATGAAGATGTTGATGACTATGATGACACTGAAGATCATGATAACACTGATGACTATGATAACACTGAAGATCATGATAACACTGATGACTATGATAACACTGATGACTATGATAATACTAATGACTATGCTAATACGAATGACTATGATAATACTAATGACTATGCTAATACGAATGACTATGATAATACTGATAACAATACTTTTGATAACAACGACACTGATAAGTATGATAATAGTGATGAGTATGATATTACTGATAGTAGTGCTAATTCAAAAGTGGTACGTTTTAAATTGGAAATTTTTTTTTCCCTTGATGTCTATATTTGAGCAATTCGATATTTGTAGGTTAATGCTGGCAGTTAGTAACTTAAGCTTTATGCTTTCCAGCTATCATGATGAGCTCAGTATTGATAAATTATAAAACCATGTTGTCAAAAAGCTGTGGTGGTCAGATTGCTTGAGTGAGATGACTGATTCTATCACAGTGGTAAATGTGGGATAAGCATGATAAATCTCGAATAAGCTCATTTTGGCCTGTGCATCAGCCTTAACTCTCAGCTTGAGTAACAACATTTTAATGTTTGATATCAATATAAAAATACTCATTCCAGTCATAGAGAGCGAAATAGATTAATATTGAGACGATGCATTTCATAAGTAAAGATCGAAAAAAGATAAAAGAAAAA